CAAAACCAGAAACTTTTTTTTTTAAATCTGTAGATACTAAGATACAGCTTTTCAAAAATTACAGTTTTTTTTTAAAAAAATCGGATTTTTGTTTTGTTTTTCAGTTGTGCAAAATTTTTAATTTTTTTAAATCGTAACACTTTTTTTACAATTCAAGAATTACAACTATACAGGGATGTCTCAAAATTGACGTTCCTGTGTTTGGGGTTTGATTCAATTTTTAATCAAACATTAAGAGTAAAAAGTTTTCTGACTGTTCTTCGTTATTGAATTATTATAAAAAACTAAAATTTAACATTCAAACTTTTTAAACTATTCAATAGAATAATATTATAAATAAAATAATATTATATATAAGATAATATTATAAAGCAAGATATTTTTCACATCTGTTGGCACAAAATATGCTTAAATAATAAACTTACAAGTTGAGTACACTATTTTTGTGTAATGAATGGAAAGGACTGAATACAAAAGTAATTTTTTACAAATTTCGTAATCAAAATTATATTACACATGAAACTTTGCTCAAAGATTCTCCTGAAATAATAACTGTGTTGCTAACGATAAAGTGGCACTTTATACATACAAAAAAAATTATTATTTACATTTTTGTCATTTACTCGATAACAAAGATCAATCGCAAAATTTTCTACTCTTAGTTTTCGATTTATATTAGCCCCCTGAATCAAATCCCAAAAGCACGGGCGTTAATTTTGAGACACTCTGTATACATTTTATTTAATTTTTATTGAATTTTTTTATAACGATGCCATCTCGGTAAAAAAAGATAAACTAAAATAAAAATTTGAAATTTTTATAAAGTGATTTTCTGAGTTTTGCAATCGAATCTGAGTTTGATTAGTGCAATCCAATCTCATCTAGGTATTTTCCGGAAATAACCTTCTCGTTAATCCATAACTGTATTCCGTAATTTCTCGTAGCTCCGGGAAGAAAATCGATTTTTTCGCGTCGAACTTCTCGGGTCATTTGACACAAGAAATTTACAAATCATAACTATCGCAATTTGAAAAAAAACGGCCTTCTTAGAACTCAGTTTAAATATTTACCCATGGACAAACCCCGTCAAATATTTGATCAGGGCCAACAATTTTACAATTTGTTTAACGATTTTATGGTATTTTTTTCGGGTTTTATATCGTTATTTTCGGAGCCGTGTTTACACTCGTCGAAATAATTTACGAGACATTTAATGCGCGACCAAATAATAAAACCGAATATTCATCCATGGAAATTGGCCGTTTAACCCACATATTCCACATTCCCGGTCCAAGCTGAATTAGTTCGAACTTTCGCTAATTACACGATGATCGTAAATTAAGTTTAGATTAAGAACTAACGTGATTGAGATGTTATCGGATTTTTTAATCCGAACAATCGAAGTGTGCGTGGAGAAAAGGACCTTCAAGCAATGACTGTCAAAAAAATTAAATTATTGCTTTTTAGAAATTTTATTGTTGAAACTTAATAATAGTCTAAAAAAAATTAAATCGGATTGCAATCGGGTTTTTAAGACAATTATATAGTTTTTATTAATTTTGCATGATTTTAATTAATATTTACCTAATAAAGTATATTTTTTTATAAATCAGCAGTTATCAATAAAAATTAGGTATTATTTAAAAAAAATTTCGACTTAACTTGAAAAAAAAAATTGCTTCGATTGTTAGATAAAAAATTCTTGATTTAAAAATGTGTAAATTCTGTTTTTTTTGTGATTTCAAAGAGATCCTGGTACGAATTGTGAACGTGTTTCGCCCACCAAATTACCATCATCAGGACAATCCGAAATCTGATTCATAACTTCAGAAATATTTTGTAGTCATTTTAAATACAAATTCCATACCTGAATATTAAAAAAAATAAAATATGTACTTGAGAAACACGTTTAAAATTTTAGAATCATAAATAATATATAAAAAATAGCACACAAATCAACTCAATTTTTTACATCCCAAAAATCGAACTTGTTTTTCACAATTTATAGCATTTGAAATAAGACTAATTTATGGTTAGAAAAAACTATCTCTCTTTAAGAATCTATAGGGTAAATCCGGAAGAGATGGACTTTTGAACTTTTTTTTTTATATTTATTAGAATGTGTTTTTTATTTTCTTAAGTTGTCTTAAAGTTCACCTGAAATAAACATAGGTAATATTAGAGCAGATTTTTTAAAATGTTGTCTACTTCTCCCGAACTTACCCTAGTTTTAAAGAATAAATATATTTTTACTTTAGTCGCTATTAAGACTAAAAATTCAGTTTTGTATTTGGTGGTTTAGCGCTCATCATTTCAAAAAAACTACATCTTATAGTCCAAACTCAATTGCCCGAACCCATGTTTTCACAATTTGAATATAAACCAGATTCTCGACTTTAGTAATAAACAATAAATGAGATAAAAGATAGCATAAAAAAAATTGTAATTAGTTTTAATTAGGGAAACAGAAGTGGAAAATGTGATTTCTTCAACAGAGAGGTTAAAAATTAGGAATACTCTTTTATTTCAGAAAATTTTTGCTAAATTTTGAAACAACAAAAAATTAAGTTTTTTTGCAAAGTTTACAAATTTACAATTATACAAATTTTGTATAATTTTTGCAAAAAGTTTTCTAAGTATTTTTAATCGTAATAAACATTTAATTCAATAAAGTATTTTTCCTTTTTATAAAAGAAATAAGAAATTTCATAGTTCAAAAAAATATCAAATTCGAACATATACTTATTATCTTACTTTAGTTCGGGTTATCGAGGTTACACTGTAATTGTAAAAAATATTCCCAGTAATTTTAAAAACACGACTTAATATCAACTACTTTTGCTAATTACAGTTGATTAAATTAAATTATTAACTAAATTATTAACAATAGTAATAATAATGATTTGTAAATTGTGATTTAATAAAGTAATTAAATTATAAGATTAAATTATATCAGAGCAATAATCAATTAATTCTAACTTGTTTTGTTTATTTTTTTATATTTAATAAACTAATTAATTAACTATGAACGTACTCACAGATAATTATTGTTTTGTTGGAATGTCTTAAAAGTAAAACCTCGACAAATCCAATGTCTTTTGGTGATTGATTGGTCAATGTAAATAATGTAATTCTACCTCAATTTCTCGAATTTCTCAATTTGTATGCAAAATAATTTAATTATTTTTATTCTTCGACACTGTCAAAATTTGCCGTTTTTCTTCTGTGTAAGGAAGTTTTGACAACTGTTTGGCATTTCTCAATAAGAAGAATAAAATATTGTATTCAACTTGTCTTCGTGTAAATCGGTTCATTTATTCCACCTCGTGGATGATAAAAATAAAAATTCATTCGTGGAATAAAGCGTCCGATTTACACTCAAACTCATCGAATAAATAATTATTACTGCGATCAAAAAAAGAAAAAAATATTTTATAATTTGAAATTAAGTTTTCTCCAGTGCTTTCGTTTTATTTAAAAAAAACAATAATTCTGTTTTTTTAAACAGTTTTGTACTTAGTAATAAATAATAAATAGTGAGCTTGTTGAAAAACAGTTCTAGGAATCTCAAAATAATAAAATATGTATACAACTTGTTTCATTAAAAAAACGAAATTGATGTTATTTACAATAAATGACTATAAAATTATTTAATCTAAAAAGTATTGTCATATCTTTCAAAAATAACCCAGTAATGTCTTGAGGTGTTTGTCAAAAGTCAGCCTATACAGGGTGTGTTAGAACTCGTGCCTCAGAGAAAAATTTCAAGTAAGATAAGATACTAGCAACATGAAAAAAATGTTCCAAAAATTTTGACATATATTGTTTAACATTTAACTTTTTTTATGTCTATTCAATGATACTGATGATATTGTATATGTTTTTTTTATAATTACTGAGTAACGGTACAAAAATTTGCCAATATAAAAGCCACAAATAACATTAAACATAGTTAGAATTTAGGACACAGATTTTTTCCCATTCTAATAGCCTGTAACAAAAAAACTTGGAAAATGATTTTACCAACAAAAATAAATAGAGTCAAAGTGCAAAAGTTAAACTCCCATAAGTTCGAAATTTTTATAGATAGAATTTTTTTAACATTTTTTCTATGTTTCTACAGTGCGATCAGAAAGTCTTTCTATAAAGAGTCTTTCTATAGTTGAGGACGTATGTTGCTTGGAAGTTTGTAAGTCAGCTAGATGTCAAAAAATTATTTTATAAAAATTAAAATATTTATCTAAACAAATTGAATTACTGTATGAAACGTCTTAAAACACCCTAAAATGAGATGTATAGTTGGAGTTTATTCATACAAACCGTTCACCACGATTTATTGTTACAGTTTACAAAAAAAATATTTTGACATTTCTTATTTACCATATACATTATATCTTCCGCAGACACGTTTTCAATTTCTAGGCTTGCTTGATAGATAAACTTTTTGATCGCACTGTAGTATCTTACCTTACATGGATGGCATTTTTCTCTAGGGTGCAAGTTCTGGCGCACCTGTTAACTTTTGTAATTTTGAAATAAAACAATTTGCAAAAAGTATATAACTATTGGTATACTTTGACTTAACGAGGTTCCACTGTATTTCTGTTTGGATAAAATATTTTTAAAAGTTGACCGTATGAAATGCTTGAACCTTATTAGGCAAACAGATACATCAGATAGTAAAAATTCAATTTTACAGTTATTATTAGCATCATCTTAATTAGCTCCACCTGTAATTAATTACACATAAACGTCGAAAATTGTAGAAACCTAATATTTGGATATTTCCTCAAATTCCAATGCATTCACTCAATAGATCCCACATGAAACCCGATCTTCCCTCATCAAATCGTTCAGTCCCAAAAATCCCCCGTAACAATACCGAAAACGCCATATACGCACACAATACCCCCCTTCGGCCCCGCCTGCCCCTCCGCCGTCTCACTCCTCGGAAATATGTCAGTTATTCTTCCCACTCTTGGTTATTGTCGATGTCCGAGCCTCAGCGCTCAGTGTATAAAAGAGAGCCGAAGAGGTGAGACGCGAGTGAAAAAATGATCTGACAATGCCGGCTTACAGTGACCTGGAGGGCCGCCTCGGCGCCAAACGTTCGTGCAAGAACCTTCTGGCGGTCATCGTGGTCGTGGCCTTCGTGTGTGGCTTAACAATTGGCGTTTCCTTCGCGTTGTGGTGTCTCAAACCCCGAGAAACGGTCTCCGAAGCGGCCATCAGGAGCGTCTTCCTCAACAACAGCAACAACTTTGTCTCGTTTGTTGATAACGTGGGGGAAGTGGTCACGGGGGGTGTCTACTGGGGGCGGCGCGTGGAAGCCGCGCTTCCGGCCGGCTACCGCCACCAGCAGCGCCACTGGGAGGACGTCCTCGAGGCTGGTGTAGGAGTGAAGCTGGAACGTGGTTGCGGCCGCATGCAAAACCGCCTCCTGGTCTTCGGGGACGGCACCAAAGGCTGTGTGCGCTACCGCCAAAACACCGACCAAATCCAAGGCGAACTCTTCAGTTTCTATCTCGCACAAGTCCTCCAACTCCCGAATTTGGCCCCCAGTTGTGTCACCATCGTCGATTTGAAGCAACCCCTCTGGAGGGGGCTCTCCAATGACATTGCTGCGGCACAATGGAGTGCGAATAAGCCAGTTGTGGTGACACAATACATCGATAATCTCCTCTCGGCGACGATCCCCCAGGTGTTCAAACCCAACGAACGCCATTTGAACAAGTACGATGTGCTCAACATGTCCTCCAATCTACCCCAAGAGGAGCAAATGAAGAGTTTCGTCGAGTTGGCTCAATGGTCCGATTTAATCATCTTCGATTATCTCACAGCCAACTTGGACCGGATTGTTAACAATTTGTACAATTACCAGTGGAATGTGAACATTATGGACGCTCCGGCGCACAATCTGGCCAAAAAGGCCGATACGGACCTGTTAGTGTTTTTGGACAACGAAAGTGGCCTTTTGCACGGTTACAGACTTTTGAAAAAATACGAAGTTTATCATAATTTATTATTGGAGAATTTGTGCGTGTTTCGGAAGAGCACAGCCGACGTGATTAAAAGACTGAAACAGAAAGGGGACGTGGGGAGACTCCTGAGGGACATGTTCGAGCGGAATAGTGACATTGTCAAAGACTTGCTCCCGATGTTGCCTGACAAAAGTGTCAAAATTCTCAACGAACGAATTGACAAAGTTTACGGACAGATTGTCAAATGTGAAGCGATGTTCGCCGATGAGACGTAGCGAAACGGTTATTTATTTTATTTTATTTTTTCTTATTTATTTGTGCCGAAATGTGATAGATGAATCTAGTAGTCGGTGGTGTACAGTGTGATCAAAATGTAAATATGTACCTACGTATTGTAAATTTTTGTAAATAATGCGACGGAACTAATAAAACAAACTTTACACTTTGTGTTGCTTTTATTTGTGATTTGATCTTTCATTGAAATTGGGAAATATTTCAAGAAAATTAGTCGCAGGTTGGTTGTTGACCTCTTGATTAAATTTCCGCAATTTTGACGCTTATCTCCCGTTCAATCGTTGAAAAAATCTGTTAACTGCCTTCTTATTAAGTATCAACATTCATGTTTTGCTTATTATTTTTATAATTCGAGTATCTCGTAAATTTTATAAGTTTACATTTATTTCATTTTTACTGAAAACAAAAATTCTTTATAAAAACAACAGAGCAAAATCTACATAATTTTATTTATATTTTTCATATTTGAAAATTGTTACGAAGTAAGTACTTTATTTTTTTGATATTTTTTGGCATAATTATAAAATACTTATTTTTCTAGGTGGGTATTTATTATGTAGGTAAGTAATCATGCAAAGTTTTTCTGCAAAATTTATTTTTGTGTTCTGATTCTTCGTCGAAGTCTCTCAATTTTGCATCGTGATATATCGTTGAAGTCTCTTTAATGTGTTTGAAAAATGCACATTTTCTGATTATAGACTGGACATTTTTAAACAATAAAATTACCGAAAATAAACAGAAAAAGTGAATTTTTTCGTCTTTACATAAAAAACACAATTTCTGTGTTTTTTTTCTATTTCTTTGTCTTTTTTTTCTTTGTTTGATGAAATTGGGAATGCATTTGCAACTAGCTTCATTTTATTTCATACTAACTTATACATTTTTAATTTGACGTTGTTTCTTTTGAACAATCTTTACCTTTCAAAAGTAAAAGAAACAATGTAAAAAATTTAGTCTAGAAAAAATCTTAGAAAACAAGAATTTTACCTGTTTTATTCCCTGTTTTTTTTTTCACAGCCTTTTAGATTTGTGGAGGATACATTTTTTTGATTAAATGGTGTTTTTGCTTATTTGAAACATGTTATTACAGGCAGTCCCAGAAATAATTAAAAAGAAAACAATTTTTTCAAAATTTTAAAATTTTATTTGAAAACTCCAATATGTAACAAAAGTTTTAAAAATAAAAGAGGTTAAATTTAAAAACTGATGAGCTTCTTTCTAGATCTTCTGACATTTTGACCTGATTCTGACACCCTTTATATAGGATTATTAAACTTTTTTTTTAATGTATTGACCTTACGTTAAAATCTCGAACTAAAATAGTCAAGACAACTAAAATGAACAATTTGGTCAAAATACGGTATACAGAATGTCCCAAAAACAACATAAACTTATCGTCGCTCTTAAAAAATGTAAGTCTGTATTTGAAAAAGTGGAACTATGACTTTATAGGTAAATAATTTAAAAATTCACATTTTTTTATCCGCAAACCAAAGTGGCCACTTTTACTACTAAATGTCACAAATAAAAGTTGTACCTTTCAGGCATAGAGTAAAAATCCTGTTTTTTTGCTTAAACCTTTTTACTTTTACCATGACATTTATCAATTTTCTCTGCTTCAGCAATTCAACATTTTGCATTACCAACTGCACTAGTCATATTAATAAACATTTTTCGAAAATCTCAACACAAATTCCGGTACTGACGCATGATGAAAAAAAGACATCAATAAATAATAATAATTTTGTTTATATGATTGCGTTATAAAATTTGTGTTTATCCTTTCAAAAAGTCTAAAATTTGTGGCGTGGCCGCCCTGTATTCTGTAGCGATGATTATGTCCGTCGACCTCTTTGAAATTTCCCCAATTTCGTATCATTCCCTCCCGTTGAAATAATCTCGTCCGATCTATCATTAAGCCTCATCGTTTAATTCTTAGTTTTTGTTTTGGCGTCCGTCGTCGTCGATATCTCCCTTGTGAAAAAAGGACGATCGCGCGTAAAATTTTTGTTTCGATAAATCTGCAAATTGGCGGTCGGGTCCGGCAATTAAACCACGTGACCCTATAATTACCAATAATTTGGTTGTGTGGAAAAGGGCCGAGTTTTCGGTGAGAAAGAAGTCGAGAGGGTCTTTATGCATATGCAAATTCGAACGTTTCGTTTTATTTTCGCCAACAGATTTATGATAACATAACTTGTCAGTTACCTGCTGGCCAAAAAACATAACAAGACTATACCGTGGTAAAAAGCCCGATTCGAGATTTTACTATAAACTAATTGTCGGGTTAATTGATCCGACGATTAACTCGAACAACACGGAATGGTAATTGTGATGGCGCTGATGCGAGCTTAGTTCGATTTAGGCTGTTATTATCGCATTAGCGGCGACCTCAAAATAAACAACACTGAATTAAGACTCATTAAGAGTCACTCACAAAATTTTACCAACAAATCAATTCAAGATAACAAAGTTAAATCAAAGAAATATGTGTTGGGTTCGTCGCTTGTGTTGAAATCACCGACAAAAGCTCTAAAAATTAAATATAAAGATTTCATACAATTTTGCAACATTCTAAATCAAATAACGTCAATTACTTAAGCTTTGATGGTGTTTTTTATCTACAATCGGAGATTTTAACGACAAATCAAGCGACGAACCCAAATCTTCAAAAATATTTAACAAAAACTTCCATTTATTAAAATCTTAAATTATTTAACTCCAACTATTTATAAACTTATACCAGTTTGAGTAAATTTTAAGTGTTGATTTCGTTTCTTGCGTTGAAACACCGAAGAAATAAGCTTTAAAAGCTTTATAATAAAATCTAAAATCAAAAATTTCATACAACTTAACTTAATATTGTAACTTTAGTAAGAACTTTTTTATTTTCCATAACTTTAAAAAATATTGGGTTTGTCGCTCATATCGAAATGACTGAAAAAATTACATTTAAAAGCTAAATTTCGTAAAACATGAAAACTTGTTTAGGTTTCTGTGGTGTTTTAGTAAAAACTTCAATAAGTCACTGAACGAGAAGCTCAAATAACCAAAAATATTTTATTTTTTTGTAAATTTTGAAAATGTTGGGTTTGTCGTTTGTTTTGAAGTCACCAAAAAAATAAATCTTAAAAACTTTTATTAACACTAAAATGTAAATTTAGTGCAATTTGTATTGATTTTTTGTGTGACTTTAATGTCTCAATAAGCGACGAACTCAAATCCTGAAAAAATGTTTCACAAATATTTTGTTTATTAGAATTTAGAATCATTTTAACTGCAGTAAGTTTTTAATGGATATAAAGTACTGTCGTTTTTAGGTAAAATTTTAGAAATATCGATTGGGATTGTCGCTTGTGTTGAAATCACTAAAAAATAAACTTTAAAGCGCCAATAACAGCTGAAATTGAATTTAATAAATTTCATAACTAAAAAATGTTAATTACGTTCTTTGTATGTGTTTTTAGTGTGTTACCGGAGACTTCAACGATTCACTAAGCGACGAACTCAAATTCCCAAAAACTTTTTCTGTATTTTGTGTTAAAATCACTAAAAAAATAAAAAACATAAGAATGTCAGGCAATTTTATGATATACAGAGATTTCAACGACTCATTAAGCGACGAACCCAAATCTTTATTAATCGCGATTAATTATATAATCCAAGTTTTCAGGAGAATTAAGCTACAAATCGTCATGGTTAAACCGTTTTGTACTCCTGTTCTTATTTAGCTCAAACAGGACTTTCTCTCGAGTGATTGGCTACGTTTTTAAATCACGACAATGGTTTAATGTCAAATCTTTATCTTGTCAAGATTACATACATCCGACAGCTACCATTACTAGTTCAAGCGATAAGTAAGCGTAGGTTAAAGTTAAACGAGATTCCAAAATTAGGTTATTGGTATTTAATTTTTTGTCAGTTTTCTCTTTTCTTTGGAAAGATGATGTGCAAACTGTTGCTGTGTCGATTATAAATTCCGCAAGCAGTCTCTAAACCGCGATTATATCACTTCCAGTTTAGCGTTTAAAAGCTGCTTTAATGCGAATGGGAAAATGAGAAACCTCTTCATTTGCAGCCTTAACACACCATCAAACATTTATTGTTCAAATTGAATACTTGTTAATAACGTGCCAACGTTTCACGTTTGTTAAATATTAGAAAACTTTATTCAATCAATTTATGAAAAATACAAAAAAAAAACAATAATAAAAACTCACTTTGTGAATTTTATAGCTTCGTAAAAATAATTAGGTTGGATTGGTCGGCGACGAAAATCCATTAATTTGATTTGGATTAGATCAAGTCGTTTAGTTAATGACGTTTAATGACAGTTCGGAGAAGTGTCCCCCTTGATTCTAACAGTTGTAAGTTACGATCTTTCGAAGAAACATTAAACGAAGATAAAGCCGAAAATTAAAACACGTGGAGCAGAAAATCACACCGGAAGGCTGGGAAAACAAAGAATTTTTGGCGTATTTGGGTTTTATCCTCTCTTTTATTATCATTCTTAACAAAGTGTAAAGAAGTGGACGTTTTGTGAAATTAGAAGCAAATTGATCGTAAAATATGTAAAAAATAAAAATCATGTCATTTTCTATAAATTAAAAAAATGCCTATAGGGTTCGTCGCTTATGTTGAAATCACCTAAAAAAAAAAACCTTAAATATCTATTTCATAGATATATTTCATAAAACATGAAAACTTGTGTGGGTTTTTGAGGTGTTTTAGCCTAGACTTCAATGAGTCACTAAACGATAAACTCAAATTTTCATTAATATTTTATTTTTCTGTCAATTTTGGATGTGTTGGGTTTGTCGCTTGTTTTGAAATCACCGAAAAAATCAACCCTAAAAGCTTTTATAAACACTAAAATCCCAATTTAGGGCAATTTCATAATATTTTAAGTAAAATAATGTCAATTATATCGATTTTTGCTGTATACTACCGGAGACTTCAACGATTCGCTCCGCGACGAACCCAAATCTCTATTTTTTCAATTACAACATCTATTAAAACTGTGAATTATTTTAACTATAAGTGTTTATTATCTTATTAGAATTCTACTTTAGTTTTCGTAAAATTTTTTATAAACTTAAAAAATATTGGGTTCATCGTCTATATTGAAATCACCGAAAAAATAAACCCTAA